TAATATTTTTTAAAAAGGGATATGGTATCAATAGGAATGTCACAAAGGAAGACATCAGGAAGTAGGACCACGAGGCAACAGGAACTGGAGAGGCTGCAGGGGTGGGGGTGTGGGAAAGAAGAGGGTGCAGAGGCAGCTGGCGATCCAGGTGCTGATGGGGCTCCAGCACGAGATGAAGGTGCAGCACAGCCTGTCATCGGGGATGCTTCTCTCTTCCTACAGCTCCTCTTTACAGTTGTCCAAAGGGGACAGAGAGTGGAGAGGGACAAAAGAAGGGATCTACAAATGTTCGGAAAGCACATCCATTCTGTTTGAGGCGGAAAGGGTGAGGGGCAATGAAGAGATGAGATCCAGACCCCACAGTGGCCAATCTGCCACCTGAGACTTGATCTGCTCACAGGGTGGATCGGGCATGGCCAAGCATGCCTGCCCCTTCCTGGTCACTGGGTTAGGAATGGAGCAAAAGGAAACAAACAGGAAATTTCACCATTAGGAATTGAGCAAAAGGTTTGGGATGGAATTCCTTAAGAATGTGCTTTTGCAAAATCCTCCTCCCTCCCCCGAACTCCTGGCAACCACTGATATTTTTATAATTTTGCCTATGCCAGAATGTCATATAGTCGGAATCATATAGTATGTAGCCTTTTCTGATTGACTTTTTTTTTTTTTTTTTTTTTTTGAGACAGAGTCTTGTTTTGTTGCCCAGGCTAGAGTGAGTGCTGTGGCATCAGCCTAGCTCACAGCAACCTCAAACTCCTGGGCTCAGCAATCCTACTGCCTCAGCCTCCCGAGTAGCTGGGACTACAGGCATGCGCCACCATGCCCGGCTAATTTTTTTATATATATTTTTAGTTGGCCAATTAATTTCTTTCTATTTATAGTAGAGACGGGGTCTCGCTCTTGCTCAGGCTGGTTTCGAACTCCTGACCTCGAGCAATCCACCCGCCTTGGCCTCCCAGGGTGCTAGGATTACAGGTGTGAACCACCATGCTACTGATTGACTTTTTAAAAAAAATTTTTTAAGACTAGTCAAGTGCAGTAGTGAGAACAGGGGAAGAGTAGAACAAGTTCGATCTGTAACTGACTGTTAATGATCAATTGAGACAACTCACTACCTTCGGACCAGCCTCAGATTGACTTCTTTCACTGAATTCTTCCATGTCTTTTCATGACTTGATTGTTCGTTTCTTTTTAGTGCTGATTAATATTCCATTGTCTGCATGTACTGTGGCTTACCCATTCACTGACTGAAGGACATGGTGGTTGCTTTCAAGTTTTGGCAATTATGAATAAAGGTGCTGTAAAAATTCCTGTGCAGGTTTTATGTTGACATAAGTTTTCAGTTTATTTGGGTAAATACCAAGGAGTGTGATTGCTGGATCATATTGTAAGAGTATGTTCAATTTTTTAAGACACAGCCAAACTATTTCCCCAAGTGGCTATACCACTTTGCATTCTTACCAACATTGTATGCCTTCCTGTTGTTTTACATCCTTGCCATTGTCATTGTCAGTGTTCTGCATTTGGCTATTCTAATAAGTCTGTAGTGGTATCTCATTGTTTTGTTTTGGTTTCGTTTGTTTTTTTTCAGACAGGTTCTCACTCTGTTGCCCAGGCTGGAGTGCAGTGGCGTCAGCCTAGCTCACAGCAACCTCAGACTCCTGGGTTCAAGAGATCCTCTTGCCTCAGCCCCCCTGAGTAGCTAGGGACTATAGGTATGCAGCACCATGCCGGCTGATTTTTCTATTCTTTGTAGAGACAGGGTCTTGCTCTTTCTCAGGCTGGTCTCGAACTCCTGGCCTCAAGCAATCCTCCCACTTTGGCCTCCCAAAGTGCTAGTATTACAGGTGTGAGCCACCATGCCTGGCCAGGTATAGAGTTTGAATAGACATTTTCACAAAGATGTACAAATGCCCAACATATACATGCAAAGATGTTCAACATCAGACACTGGGAAATGCTAATTATAACTACAATAATATAATACTTCACACCCACTATGATGGCTATACTTAAAAACGATGGGCAGGGCAGGTGAGGTAGCTCATGCCTGCAATCCTAGCACTTTGGGAGGCTAAGGTAGAAGGATTGGTTGAGGCCAGTTCAAGATCAACTTGAGCACAAGTGAGACCCTAATAGAAAAATTAGCCAAGTGTGGTGGAGCACACCTTAGTCCCAGCTACTTGGGAGGCTGAGGCAGGAGGCTGAAGCCCAGGAGTGTGAGGTTACAATGAGCTATGATGGCACCACTGCAGTCTAGCCCAGGTGACAGAGTGAGACTATCTCGAGAAAAAAAAAAAAAAAAAAGAATAGTTTTTTTTTATTATTTGCTTGTTTTTAATTTCAAGATGTGGGGGCATGGGCACCATAGTCTTTTCCATACACGGAGAATCTAAAAGTCAAGAGGCTGGATCCCAGGACCATCTCTGTCTCTAGCCAGTCGTATGGTCTCAGGTCATTTAGACTTCTCTGGCCATCTTTCATATGAGAACAAGAGCAGAGCTCCTTCATAAGAGATTGAGCATTGGAGCCCTGGGTGCTAGAACCACACCCACGATCTGACCTTAAATCTATGGAATGGCATTGATGGAAATAATAGGCAAATTATATTTGCAGACAAATAGGTTTATTACTCCACCTAGTTTTCCCAACCTTCAGAGGCAGGGTGGAAAGCTGATTGAGATAGCCAGCCATCTGCTGTATGGCCAGACTGGGCCGCACGGCTCCCTCGTGAACAGCTGGGTCATATTTGACATAAGGACATTGTTCTGCTGAGGTCACTTTTGATAAACACACCCTCCAGCCCAGGCAGAGTCCCTGGGCCTCCGTAAGCCCATTACAAGGATTAACATTCATGATGCCTCATTCCTACCCGCTTCAGTGTGGTCTGCACGCACCCCATTTGTTCCCACGACATCCCCACGAAGAAGGTATTACTGGGGTCCCTGATGTGCAGATGAGGAATCCATACCCCTAGCAGGAACCGGCCTCTCCCCATAGTCCCTTTTACTGCTTCACGCTCTTGTCTTCCCCCTGTATGCGAAGGCAGGCTTTTGTTTGACTCATGTTCTATTCCTTTAGCGCTCAGTCTGTTTACGCCTGGTGCATAGTAAATATCTACTGCATGGAATGTGATAAAGTATGGTGCTTCTGGTCGTCATCACTGTCTAACCAGCCCTTCTAAACCTCTCAGCCTGGGAAGTGAATTCCACGTTCCGGCATGAGTCACAAGGCCACCCTACCCATGACAAATAGGTCAGAGGGGATTTCACAGTGCTTATTTCCTGGAAACTGCTCCACTCCTCCCTTGGGAGGCAGCATTTCATCGTCGGAAACCCTTGGCTTCTGAAATGAGAGAGGCTGGGTGCCAATACCCACTGTCTTAGGCAAGTTGTTTAGTTTCTTTAAGCCTCCGTTTCTCATCTGTAACATGAGATAATTTTATTGTGAAATGAGATATTAATACTATACATAAGCTTTCATTTCCTAGCCCTTATCCTTCCATCTTCCTCCTCTCCATGCAAACAGCAACAAAATGTGAAAGGGAACAAATGGGATAAACGGTTTTGGGAGAATAGGAGCTCGCAGGACAAGAATTAGGGGAACCAGGAGTGACAATGCAGAGGTCAGCAGTCCTGAGCTAGAATCCCAGTCCTGCTAAGTTGTGACTCTCATCTATAAAACTGACTTGCACGGTTTGTAGGGATTATAATAGATAATGCACGTGACTTATCTAGCACACAGTAGGTACTCCATGAATAGTAGCTGTTACAAGGTAATCTAAGACACTTACCTTTTCCTCCTTTTTGTTACCCACTCTGCTTCCAATGCAAACTCCAATCAACTCTTCCTGAAACACTCTTTCTCTTTGCCACAATCCATCCCCTGTCTTGAACACTTTTTTTTTTTTTTGAGACAGAGTCTCACTGTGTTGCTCAGGCTAGAGTGCCGTGGGGTCAGCCTAGCTCACAGCAACCTCAAACTCCTGGGCTCAAGCGATCCTCCTGCCTCAGCCTCCCGAGTAGCTGGGACTACAGGCATGCGACACCATGCCTGGCTAATTTTTCTATATATTTTTAGTTGGCCAATTAATTTCTTTCTATTTTTAGTAGAGACTGGGTCTCGCTCTTGCTCAGGCTGGTTTCCAACTCTTGACCTTGAGCAATCCTCCTGCCTCGGCCTCTCAGAATGCTAGGATTACAGGCATGAGCCACCATGTCCGGCCTCTTGAACACTTTTACTCTGCTGTCTACCACGTTTCCTGCAGTTAGGCCAGAGGGTAGAAAAACAGAACAAAAGAAAAAATTAAAGGAAATAAGTCTAAATAAAAAATTTTTGAGAAAACTGTTTAAGTTCCAAAGTTCCAGTATATGTGTGTGTTTCCCTCCGTGTGTGTGAGAGAGAGAACTTTGTTAAACTTGTTGTCTCCAAACCTCAGGAAAGTATAAATGGCTAAATAACAATTAAAAAAAAGAAGCATGTTCTATCGGTGGAAGGGAAAGAAATCACCAAGTTTAAGCCTGAGTGTGGGGTCCAGTGTCAGGGATTGGATGCCGATATGTCAGAGTCAGGGTCGAGGGAAGAGGGTAAGAACAAGGCCTATAGTTATTTTTTTTAGAGTCCTGCCCTGCTAGCGGGGACAGTGGGGACATCTCCAGTCTCGGATGGGTTCTGGGGAGGAGGGACTTGCTCCGGGCGCAAGTCTGTGCAGAAGCCCGACTGGACGTGGGCTCCGACCGGGGTCCGAGGTTTGCACCCCACGTCCGTGTCCTCGTCCGCAGAGTGGCCCCCAGCCTCCCGGCGGCCGCGGGGACGATCTGAAACCCCGAGTGCCAAGCGCTCCGCGCCCACCCCGCAGGAGCCACCCCGGGTGGGGACGCGGCCCACCCTCGCCAGCTCATCGGCGACCTCGGGGTCTGGGGGGGCGGGGGAGGACCCCCACGGGGCCCGCCCCGTCCTGTCCCCGCGCCCCCACGTGACTTCCTGGAAGCCGGGCGGACCGCCCTCCGCGGCTCGGTTTCGTTTCCTCGGCGGCCTCGGGGCTGTGCTGCCGCGGCGCCCGCGCGTCCTGTGCCGTCGCCCCGCGATCGCCATGGCCGAGCTGTACCCGCTGGCCGAGGAGCTGTCGTGCTCCATCTGCCTGGAGCCCTTCAAGGAGCCGGTCACCACGCCGTGCGGCCACAACTTCTGCGGGTCGTGCCTGAGCGAGACGTGGGCCGTCCAGGGCGCGCCGTACCTGTGCCCGCACTGCCGCGCCGTCTACGCGACGCGGCCGCAGCTGCACAAGAACACCGTGCTGTGCGCCGTGGTGGAGCAGTTCCTGCAGGCCGAGCTGGCCCGGGAGGCGCCCGCCGACGACGGCTGGACGCCGCCCGCCCGCGCCGCGGCCCCCAGCCCGAGCGCCTGGGTGGCCTGCGACCACTGCCTGAAGGAGGCCGCCGTGAAGACGTGCCTCGTGTGCATGGCCTCCTTCTGCCAGGAGCACCTGCGGCCGCACCTCGACAGCCCCGCCTTCCAGGACCACCCGCTGCAGCCGCCGGTGGGAGACCTGCTGCGCCGCAAGTGCCCGCAGCACAACCGGCTGCGGGAGTTTTTCTGCTGGGAGCACAGCGAGTGCATCTGCCACATATGCCTGGTGGAGCACAAAGCCTGCTCGCCCGTGTCCCTGAGCCAGGCCAGCGCCGAACTGGAGGTAGGGGTGACCCTTGAGGGCGCAGAGGGCAGCATGGGTATCTCCCGGCCATACCCTGGATCCCCTGGGGAGATGGGGCTTGCACGCCCTGAGATCGAGGCAGAGGCATCCCCAATGTCAGAGTAGAAAGGAGCTGGGAGATTGTGTAGCCCTCTCCCATCACCCACCCTCTACCCCACTTACACCCATTTTACAGAAGGGACAACTAAGGACACAGGTGAAGTTGCTTGCCTTAAACCTGTCCTTGCCTGATGGTGTTTAGTAGAGGGTTTTGAATGTCAAATATGAACCCTGGGGTCATCTCTTTTCCCTCATTAAATCCTGGCAGCACCCTTGAGGTAGGTGTTATTAAGGAAACTGAGGTCCAGAGACGCTGGCTTAGCCGGAGCTAATGCAGAAGTAAGTGGCCATGCAGGCGCTGGGACCCCGGTTGCTTTGACTCCACAGTCTGCAGTTTCTCCCCATGGACCAGCTCCACGTCCAGGTCTATGGCATCCAGAGCACGGGATGCTCCCAGAGTCTTGATCATGTAAGCAGAAGCCTTTGGTCATGTAAACAGAGGCTGGAAAGTTCTAGTGATCAGGGAGGGTCGTTATTAGAGGACTGAGAAGGAAGGGGGCAGAGTCCCTACCATCCCTGGATCTGAGCCACGGGGAGGGCCAAGGCTCTTGCACCACTGTGCCCTCCCTCCTGGCTGTGTGACTTTGAGCAAAGGGTTTGGCCCCAGGGCCTGGGTCTTCAGCAGTATAATGAGAAGGTGGGAATGGAAAAACCAGCACCACTTGTACTCACCAGCAAATTGGTATTCATGGATCAACACCTAAGTGGACATATAGGAGTAACAATTATCAGGTGATGGGAGGGAGGGAGGGGGGAGAGGGGATGGGTATATACAACCACAATGAGTAAGATGTGCAACATTTGGGGGGTGGGGGGATGGACACGCTTGAAGCTCTTACTCGAGGGGGGAGGGGGGACATGGGCAACATATGTAACCTTAACACTTTTACCCCCATAATATGCTAAAATAAATAAAAAAAAAATGAGAAGGTGGGACCAGCTGGATTCCAAAGGGCCTTTTAAGAACCCAAAGCAGAGGCTGAAATCAAACCACCTTTTGTTATATCAGTCTAAGCTCTGAAGCGTGGGCTGATGTCGTTTCATTCTCACGGTACAGTCAGGGAGAGCAAGGCCTGTCCTCCTGTGTTAAAGGGGACAGCGTCCTGAGTGAAGCCAGAGCTCGAGCCGCGCCCAGCTCGGTGCGCAGTGCAAGCTCAGCTTTTTAATCCTTGTAACGGGCCTTCCTCTGCCATTCCCTGCCCCTTTGCTGAGTCCTTGGATGGGTCTCTTCTTTGAGCCCTGCTACCGTTCACTGCCGTTAGTAGGGCCAGTCCCAGCTGATGCCCCCAACCTTGGATACCTGGGCTTGTCTTGGCCACTGGCATGTGGCCCACTCAGGACTTAGGAGCCTCCCAGGTGGAGGACCAAGTCTCCAGTCTGTGAGGGGTTCCTCAGAACATAAAACAGGTAATTCCCCTTGCTCAGGGATTATTGCAGCTACCAAACTCCTTAGGCCACTTTCCTTTGGTTTAGAGTCATGTGGGCCCCTATTCATGACGAGGGGTCATAAGTGTTTGATTAATGGCGGCTAAAATCTTTCAAACTATAGGGTTCAGGGTGCAGTGCTAAGAGTGGCTCTTGGAAATGAAGCAGTTGGCAGCCTCAGAGTGTTCTGAGATCTCTTCCTGTTCTTCAACCTGCAAGGCCGGATCTGCCTGGGCCTGGCCTTTGACCCACACCTTATTGCAGCCACTGTCAGAGGTCAGGTCAAAGGGCAATGTCCCAGTGACCAGGGTCGAGTTAGCGTAGCCTTGGTGCCTGCTTCCAACTCTTACGTGCAACTATCACTGGCTTGTTCAAATCCAGATTCAAGATTAGGTTCAGCCCAGAATATCTTGGGTGGAGTGGAAGAGGCAGGAAAATGGCAGGGAGGGACAGAATGTCTGGAGCCAGCTAATTAGGGAAGGAAATGGTGTTTTTTTTTTTTTTTTCTAGAAATTTCCAGCATGCTCAGTTTAGGCACATGTCTATAATTTTTTTTTTTTTTTTGAGACAGAATTTTGCTCTGTCACCTGGGCTAGAGTGCAATGGCCTCATCATAGCTCACTGCAGCCTTGAACTCCTGGGCTCAAGTGATCCTCCTGTGTCAACCTCTGGAGTAGCTGAGACTATTGTTGCCATCACACATGACTAATTTTTCTGTTTTTTTATAGACGCAAGCACAAGCTCTTGCTCAGGCTGTTCTCGAACTCCTGGTTTCAAGCAATCCTCCTGCCTTGGCCTCCCAAAGTGCTAGGATTACAGGCATGAGCCACCTTACCTGGCCACATGTTTATAATTTTAATACCAGAATCTTAGTTGTACCAGTTAGTAGCAGTGTGGCAAGTCACTTAATTGGCTCTGTGCCTCAGTGTCATCTGTAAAAGTTGGGTAATTCTCACCTCATAGTATTGTTCTTAGCTTCAAGTTAATATTATACATGTAACGCATTAGAACAGTGCCTGACCTACAGTCAGTATGTAATAAATACTAGCTGCTGTTATTATGGAGGGGTATGGTCATTCTCCTTCCCATGTTCCATGCCACAGCATTTCATCTGAGCAGGGAGGTAAGAGATTCAGATATTGATTATGAAAATTTATAGAAATAATATGAGGATGCTATTATCCTCCACGCACAATTTGCCTTTGTTTCTGGAGGTGGCCGAGGGCCCTAGCAATTCTGAATGACCTTAATTTAGTTTCAGGGATTGAGCAGATTTGCAGCTGGGCTTCAGTCCACGTGGGCTGGTTCGTCTTATTCCCAGCCCTTGGGGGGCTCCCAGCCAGTGGGGTGGCCAGGTGAGCCTTGGACCCTGGCTTCCATCTCTGCCTCCCTGAGGCTGACAAAGGCTCCCAGCATTCTTCCAGAATTGGCAGGAGCCTCTGGAGAGAACCATCCCTGATGTGAAGCTTAGCTCTCTGCGCCCCTTTCTCCTAGATCTTGGCTTCATAAGCCTCTGTTTTGTTTGCTCTCCAATGTCTCCTAGCTGACCCCTACCCCCTGCCCAATATTTTGCTTGCTTTCTGGCTGTTTGCAGTGGAGGGGTGGTCTGAATGATATCACTTGCTGTTACCAAAGCAGCTGTCCCAACTCATTCTGTCCCTGTGTAAGCGTGGCCACCTTTCTATCCCCTTGACTCAGTTTCATCAGCTGTAAAATGAGTAATAGTGAAGAAACTCATAATAATATTAATATAAGCTAACATGTAGTATGTCCTTGCTAACTGTGGTCCCCGACCCCTGGGCCTTTAGGAACGAGGCATCACGGTCTGAGCTCCCCTGCCCCCTCCCGGGTCGGTGGGTGGACTGCTGCTTGCTAAGATCTGGGCACTCTCTGTGCTAAGGACTTACATTGTATCAATCAGTCCTCCTACTAGCCCTGTGAGGTGGGAACAGTTGTATCTATTTTGTGGCCAAGAAAAGGGAGGTGAGAGATAGGCTGCGCAGCTGGGAATTGAACCCTGGGACTTGAACCCTGGTCTGTCCAGCTCTAAATCCTGTACTCTTGACTTCCTTCCTGTACTGTCCCCCCTATAAAGATCAGAGTCAGTAAAGGTGGGAATGCTTCAGAAAGCTACAAGCAGGCCAAGGCCTGGGAGTGGGGTGGATTCGGGGGGTGGTTCCTGGGGCTGCGTGCCGGTGGGGGCTGGGCTGCAAAGGTGCTCTCTCACCCGCCTTTGTTCTCTCCGCAGACCAAGCTGAGGCATAAAATAACTGTCATGTACAGTCAGATCAATGGGGCCTCGAGGGCGCTGGAGGACGTGAAAACCAGGCAGCAGGATGTGCGGGTGAGTGGCAGGGCCCTGCAAGGCCAGCACCGCCCTGGGGCCTCCCGTGGCCCACAGGCAGGACAGGCAGGGCTCTGACTGCCACAGGGTGGTGTTGGGTGCTCTCCCCGGCGTCAGGATTAAACATCAACTTTGCAAAGTGTGGCGAGAGCTACACGCCCAAGACGGATCCTTCTCAAACCCAAACTGAAATCTACCGATAAGCCCCCTAATCATTAAAAATTAGGGTCAAAAAGTAACAATTTAGGAAAATGGTTATGCTGGAAAGTGGGAGAAAAACAGGAAGCAAAACCCTACTAGGATTGCATCTATTTATAAAAATAAAAAAAAGAAGTGTATTAGTTTCATAGGGTTCAAATTGTAACAAATCGTCACATACTTGGTGGCTTACAAGGAAAGGGTGTGGAATTTGGATGTTGGGGGAGAAAGATGTCCCACACGGTGATTAGGATATACAGAAGTAAAAGTTTATTTATTTCTCTGAGAAAGAAACAGAGAGAGAAAGAGCAAAAGAGAGAGAGAGAGGGAGTGAGTGGCCATGACACGGGACTGAAGGAGTGGAAATGCCTGGCAGCTGAGAAAAGGCTGCTTGGAGTTTTAACAGGTGAAAATGGCTCCCCCCCCCCCCTCTGCTTTAGCAGACTGATAACAGAAGCCTGGGGGAGCTGTTGTAGCTGTTCTTTATTTTTCTCTTTTCTCTGTGAGGCTGACTTTATCTGAGTCCTTGGAATCCCATGCTGGGAGGATGGAAGTGGAGAGTTCATACCCCTACTGTGCGCTTAGGGCTCTTCAGGGCTATGAAAAACTCTTAGAGATAACGAGTTAGGCCACAGGTGTTTACTTAGACAAAACAAAGGGCAGTTGAACTGTGAGTTTTCTCTCCGGGGCAATTATGTGCTGTGAATTTATTTCTCTTACTTTCGGCTCAATAGTATATTTTCCTTTATTAGGTAGGTTACTAGTAAGGCCACCTTTCATACCACAACAGACATTTATTCTCTTACAGTTCTGGAGGCCAGAAGTCCAAACTCAAGGTGTCGGTAGGGCCACACTCCCTCTCACGTCCCTAGAGGGGGCATACTTCCTTGCCTCTCCCAGTGGCCCCGGCCCGGGCGTTCCTTGGTTTGTGGCTGCCTGACTCCAGTCTCTGCCTCCATCTCCACGTGGCCACCTCCTCCCCCCTCAATGTCTTCTCTTCTATCTCTAATGACAACCCTTGTCACTAGATGTAGGGACCACCTGGGTAATCCAGGATGATCTCACCTCAAGATCCTTAGTTTAATTATATTTGCAAAGACCCTTTTTCTAAGTAAGGTTACAGTTAACAGGTCTTGGAATGTGGACATATCTTTTGAGGGGGTCGGCAGTCAACCTATTATCAGAAAAAAAGAGTAAAAGGAAATATTATAGGAGGATAGTAGTGAAAGTGCTGGAGTGGGAAATCAGAGATGGTTTTGGTTCCTCTGTTTTCAAATTTTTTATGAGGTTAAATTGCCTTGAAATTGAAAGAAGATTTGATTTTTTAAATACCCTATTCTTTTTTTTTTTTTGAAACAGAGTCTCACTCTGTTGCCCGGGCTAGAGTGCTATGGCGTCACCCTAGCACACAGCAACCTCAAACTCTTGGGCTCAAGCAATCCTTCTGTCTCAGCCTCCCGAGTAGCTGGGACTACAGGCATTCGCCACCATGCCTGGCTAATTTTTTCTATATATTTTTAGTTGGCCAATTTATTTCTTTCTATTTTTAATAGAGACAGGGTCTCCCTCTTGCTCAAGCTGGTTTCGAACTCCTGACCTTGAGCGATCCTCCTGCCTCGGCCTCCCAGAGTGCTAGGATTACAGGTGTGAGCCACCGCGCCCGGCCTAAGTACCCTATTCTTGAGCTACAGCACCCAGGTTTATTGCACAGCTGTGGCTTAATTAGGTGAGATCTGGGTTGGAGTACCAGCTCTGTCACTTACTAGCCTATGTGGCTTTGGTCATGTTGGCAGATCTCTGAGCTTTAGTTTTCCCATCTGCACAATGGAATCACAACTCCTTTCTGAAGGTGATTATGAGACAGAATCGAAAGGATGCATATGAGAGTACCTGTATTGGTTAGAGGGCAGGCTAAACTGCTGTAACAAAGTTACCTCCAAAATTCGGGCTTCAATATGATAGAAGTTTATTTTTCTCACTGTGACAGTCCAAGCCCATAGATGAGTAACCTGTACTAGTGGGATGGCTCTGCTCCATGTGATCATTCTGGGATTAAAAGGCCTTTCTTCTTATTGCCCAACTGCTCCATAGAGTATTGCTCTCACCTCTTTGGTTGAACCTGGGTCACCATGACATCTTTGTTCTAGCCTGTGAGAAAAGGGACAGGGAGGAAGTAGAGGACACAAAGCAATTTCCTTTTAGCAAGTGACACAGTGTTGCACATATCACTTATGGTCATTCCTCATTGGAAGGAGCTTGGTCACATCACCAAGCCTAGCTGCAGGGGAGGCTTGGAAATGTAGTCTGGGCAGCCACATGCCCAGATAAAACTCCAAGGATGTTCTTTTACTAAAAAGAAAAATGGAAGAATGGACACTGGGGGGACATTTGTAGTAAAATTGGAAATTGTAAAGAATTGAATAAAGAAATACTTGAAATTTTTTCTTCCAGTGTACTCTGCCTCTTGTATATTTGTTTATCATGTTTGAGTCTGAGCTATTGTCTTAGTCCATTTTCTGCTGCTATAACAGAATACCACAGACTGGGTAATTTATAAAGAAAATAAGATTATTTGGCTCACAAGTCTAGAGGCTGGGAAGTCCAGAAGCGTGGCGCAGGCATCTGTTGAGGGTCATCCATGGTGGAAGGGCAGAAGGCAGAAGGGCAAGAGAGGATGAGAGACAGAGAGGAAAAAGGAGCCCAAACTCCCATGGTAACTAACCCACTCCCGAGACGGCAGCATTAATCCATGCTCCGCCCTCATGACCTGATCGCCTCTTGAAGGCCTCACCTCTTAATATTGTTACAGTGACAGTTAGATCTCAGCATGAGTTTTGGAGGGAACATTCACACCATAGCAGTTATTGAGGTTACCCAGGATGTTAAATAAAACTGCAGCTGCTAAAGCAGTGTTGTCCAACAGAAATCCACAGGGAGCCTTGGATGTAATTTTAAATTAATTTGAATAACACATAATGTTAATTTTAATAATATATTTACCTTGGCATATCCAAAATATTATCATTTCAACACATCACCAATAGAAAAGCATTGAGTTATTTTGCATTCCTTTATCTGGATACTCAGTCTTTGAAAGCCAGTGTGTATTTTACACTTATGGCACATTTGAGTTGGACTAGCCACACCTCAAGAGCTCAATAGCTACGTGCATCAAAGGTCTGTGTTGGGGTACGGTTCTAGGGGATGATGTTCCCTAGCAGTTTTCTAGTGCTGCTTCATACCTTTTCTTTAAAAAAAATTGCCTGTGAACTGCCTTTAGCTGAAGAAATAAAATATCGCTGGTGCAGCCCCTCCTGTTTGTTTCTTTCTTATTGGACTTCTTTTCTCCCTTCTAGAAGTAACCACTGTCCTGAATTTATCCATTCATCCCCAGGCATTCCTTTATAGCACTGTGTTTGTTTCTAAGCTTTATATAAAGACCATCATACTGCATGTCTTCTTCTACAAGTTGTCTTTCTCTCATGGAGATTTATCCATGCGTAGCTCCAGTTTATTAGTTTTGGTAACTGATATTCCATCCCTTGAATGGTTCTCCGTCTGTGGACAAAGTCTCCTGTTGATAGACGTTCATGCTGTTTCCAGGCTTCTGCTGCTTCAAACAAGGCTGCTTGCGAATGTTCTAGTGCACGTCTCTGGGGCAGGTGGCTGAGAATGTTTCTAGAGTATACTCTGAAAGTGGGTGGTGCTGGGACATAGCACGTGAGCACCTCCACATTTAGTAGGTCTTGCCACATTGCTCTGCAAAGCGGTTGTGCCTGTCACATGTCACTGACACTTGGGGCTGCAGCCTTAGCATTTTTGCCAATCTAACGGGTGCCCTCTTGCCTCGGCCCTCTTAGGCTACTATCAACAAGAAGATGGAGCAGCTTAGACAAGAATACATGGAGATGAAGGCTCTCATTGAGGCCTCGGAGGCCACCCAGACACGGAAGATGAAGGAAGAAGAGAAGAGGGTCATCGGCAAGTTCGACGCCATTTATCAGGCTCTCCTCAAGAGGAAGGGTGAGATCCAGAAGCTGAAGGAGGAGATTGAACTCGGCCTGACCAAAGGAGACGAGTTAGAGTTTCTGGAGGTGGGTCGTGATGGGGTCCTTGTTGGCCACTCTTTGCCTAGTGGTGCGGTGCGGACCGTAGGTGCGGTAGGGCCTCGAGGAGTCGGGGCTGTAAGAGGTCATCCCTGAAACACATGCTGCATTAGTTTTATAAGCTGGGCAACAACTTACCACAAACGTAGGGGCTTAAAAGAACATGCATTTATCATGTCAGAGTTTTGCTGGCTCAGGAGTCTGGGCACGGCTTCGTGGGTTGTCTGCTTAGGGTCTCACAAGGCTGCAGTCAGCATTGGCCGGACTGCCTTCCTTTTAAAGCTCAGCTTGTCTTCCAAGCTCACTTGGTTGTTGGCATAATTTAGTATTGTAGAGGTTCTCTTCTCCCCTCCCCTCCCCTCCCCTCCCCTCCCCTCCCCTCCCCTTCTTTTCCACAGAGCCTCGCTTTGTTGCCCAGGCTAGAGTGAGTGCCCTGGCGTTAGCCTAGCTCACAGCAACCTCAAACTCCTGGGCTCAAGTGCAAGCAATCCTGCTGCCTCAGTCTCCCGAGTAGCTGGGACTACAGGCATGCGCCACCATGCCTGGCTAATTTTTTCTATATATGTTTAGTTGGCCAATTAATTTCTTGTTATAATAGAAACGGGGTCTCGCTGTTGCTCAGGCTGGTTTCGAACTCCTGACCTCGAGCAATCTGCCCACCTCGGCCTCCCAGAGTGCTAGGATTACAGGCGTGAGCCACTGCGCCCGGTGCCGACAGCAGTCTAGCCTGGTGACAGAGTGAGACTCTGTCAAAAGAAGGGAGGGAGGGAGGGGAGGGGAGGGGAGGAGGAGGGAGGGGAGGGAGGGGAGGGAGGGAGGGGGGAGGGAGGGGAGAAGAAGGAC